TTTTACCGTGTATATCCCGCCAACCTGTGCAGCTGATATCTTTCCGTTCCTCGAAACTAGGCATGGGCGGTTTGAAGCTTTTGGGCCGCCAACAATAAGTTGGCCCAATCCAACCCCCCCGGCAGATAGTATGACCCAATAAGCTACAGTATTGGCACCTCTTAAGCCCAGGACAACTAGGTCCAAAATGATCGTTACGATTACACACTAGGAAGGTACGTAGCTTACGGCCCAACATGCATGTATCTATTCGATCAAACTGATATTCAGGGCATAAACATTGATCGATGACACGGATACAACATTGGCAAAAAGTACCTGTGCAATATGATGCAAGATGTCCATGACGAGAGCAGCTTAAGCATTTCAGCAAACGAGAATCAATATACTCCTGAGTTGGCACATCTTTTATATGGACCATCAAGGATGCATCAATATCAGAGTAACCCGCTTGCCAGCCATCCATAATATGATATAGCTTATCATCTGAAATGGAGTTCCAATAGGATTCCTTGAAACGAGATCCCTTGAAAGAAGGCAAGACTTGCGAACTATCCTTTCCAGAACAAACAAAATCCCCCAGCCGGATATTCAGCTCCGGATCCACAATCACCGAAAAGTTGAACTGACCAAAAGAGATATGTGCGGCGGCCGGCGGTCGTCCCAACTCCGGCGAAGAAATTTGTTTATCACCTCTCAAAGGATCCGGGAGTTGGACATCCAATGCCCGATGATCAAAAGCACTCTGCTGCTCTTGAAGCCATCTAGATTTGACAGCTATAGGACGTAAGCCCACCTCAGGAAGAAACCTGTCCGCGTGCCAGCCAATGTCAGAACGAACAGAACATGAATCAATAACTCCACGAAATAGGTGAAAGTGGCAGATGAAGTCTGGCCAAATCCGACCCTTAAGGTCATAAATAAAATGTCCAACATGATTTGAGGCTACCGAGAACCTGAAACGGCAATCACTTAGTTGCAAAACCCTAAACTTCAAGCTGAGACCACCGATGCAGGATTGGAGCGCGAGGGCCACTGATTCGTCTGTCAACGTGAATGATGCCGACGAGAACGAGACAACAAGGAAGAATTCCTTGGCGGATCTAGGATTGGCCGAAGAGAAATGCACCGTGGATCCAAACTTATCCTGTACCTGAGATTTAATCGCCAATCCCAGAGAGAAGTCCCAATGGAGGAGACTTTCCATGACTATGTGGTGGCTGCCACAGCAGGAGTTTACAGTGGCAGGAGGGTGGTGGTGGCCGCCGGGGCCGAAGTGGCCACCGGCGGTGGAGAGGGAGTCGCCTAGGAGAGCGAGATGGTTATTCATGCTGTTCATGTTGACACATTGACACTCTATTTGATCAGGCAACAACATCAACAGGTGGAGAGTGTCTAATACCGGCCGGGGTCCTGCTGTTTTAGTTTATGAGAGTCCTTGCATTTGGTATTCTTGATGACTCGCATCTCTGTCCATGCCTCTATTTTGCATATGGGCTGTTTTGTTGTTTGTTCAATCGAAAGAAAAAGAAGTTCCTTGATGCGCTCCAGACACTAGAGTAGGATCCACCATATAGTAGACCAGACGTTGTGTTGCATTGGCCGGTGGACTCCTCGATCTGTTAGCATTTGTCTGCATTTTCTCACATTGTTCTTGTATCTGATCCACCATTGCTTGTACTAGTCTGTCAAGAATACAAGTCTGTATAGCAGAGAGAGCACCACAAGCTAAATACCTTCTTTGTTGGGAACTCTCATATGAATCATTTTTATAGTCCAGTTGCTCCAGTATATGTTCTTCTGATTTATTTGAGACATTCTGGACCCTAGAGTTGAATGAGACTGCTGATTTTGCATTTCGAATTACGACTGTCGCATGATCTCTTGTTTCATATGTTGTTCATGTTGATGCATTGACACTCTTGTAGTCAACCATAGCATTACCAGGTTGACACTCTTTAATGCCAAGATTCTGTTGTTTTAGTTTATGTTACCGTGATCCACCTATATGGTAAAATGAAGAAAACTCTTACTTGTCCAGCGCTTCAGCTCATGCATCTGCATGGTTCATTTGGACTGCAAACACCGTTGTTTATCCATTTGGTAAAAGCATCATGAAATGGTACATCAGTAGTGCTTGTTTAGTTAATCTTACTCTAGGCATGATAATTGGCAATCCTGCTCAGTTTTATAGATTTTACCTACTTGATCACTTAATCCATCATGATTTGTAAATACTATGCGTGTCGTGTCATACTGCCCAGCGAACTATCCTTCCCACTATCTGAAACATAGCATACTTCGGTTAGTTAGGCATCCCCAAAACTACAAATCAGACTGTTTTTAATTACACTGATGTATATTTTCTGGGCTTTAGTTTAATTTCGTCTTTTGACAGAGGTTGAGGGGAGTTTGTTCAATAAAAAATTGGTTTTTTCTTCTTCCCTTTTGATGCATTCGAAACTCTAGAGTCAAATGTAGTTGTATTGATTTCATGTCGGAGTTTTCAATTTTGATATCTTGTGGCTGTTGTGGACTTGTGGCATAATAAAATTATTATTCTTTTGCATCAATTTATTCACTATAATTGGTTTTCTGGTGGTTTTCTTTCAATATTAACCGAGGTGTGCTTAACTCATGTCACAGGATTGGACCAGTGATAGTGATGACGGTGATAAGTTTGAGTGGGACAGTGATAGTGATGATAGTGATAAGTTTGAGTGGGATAGTGATAGTGATGACAGTGATAAGTTTGAGTGGGACAGTGATGGTGAGGCTGAGCCCTCATCGGCTCCGGCTATGAGGAACTTCGATGCTCCTGGCCCATCCACACTCGTAAGTCAAACATAAATTTTGTATTTCAGCGCAAGAGCTATCCATGATATGTTATAATTATGTTAATGGTGTGATATTTGTTCATGTAACTATCTAAAGAGTTTGGATGGGTGGATCAACGGGGAAGCGCCGCCTACTTCTTTGATCGAGGGATATGTGGCAATGGGCTTCCCAAAAGAGATGGTCGTGACGAGTATCAAGGAGATTGGTAATATAGAAGTAATCAGCTCCATTTTATTTATCCTGTTTGTGTTTGTACCTTTTTTAACACCTCCTGTTTTCAGGACATAGTGATGCAGATGCTCTGCTCGAGCTACTCCTCATGTACAAGGTATTTGACTATTTATCCATGTGCTTTATTACTCAATTTATTCTGTACTGCTCTTGATTCATGGCAAGGGTCGTTTATTCGGATTGAGATGTGAAATGCAGGCACTAGGTGATGATTATGCAGTGGACAATCACTCTAATTTTGGCTGTAGCCCCCCTAGTGTTGAAGATGATGATGGTCTTGATTTTCAGAACTGGGATGGCGATGATGATACTGGTGGTAAAGAGTCAAGCTCTGATGATTCTGGTTATGAGGTAAATGATTTCTTATCTCTAGTTCAGCAGCAAAAAATTCTTTAATCATATGTATGCTAATATATGTGAGATCTTTGCCATGCACACCTTGAGCACCCCTGTTCTTACTGTTTTGAGCTTTCATCAGTGTAGTAGCATTTCATTGTGAAGTTTGAGCACTTGAAATTTTCTACATAGGATTTTCACCATGTTAAAGTTCTTTTTTCCTATAAAAGCGTAATATAAGGAGTGATTTAAATAACGTTAGACAATACCTCCTACAGATTAATCAAACAAACTAGAAAACTATAGAAACTGGGTGTATTATTGTCCTGCTTGTTTGTGAATTTCATGAATCAGAAAAATAATTTCTGTCAGACACCACTTGTTTTATCTCCAGTTCTTATGCATTTGAATATTAGTAACAAGGATTATGACTTGTGGAGTTATGTTGCTACAAGAAAATTATATCAGGTGGTTGAACCAAGAGAAGATATTACACATACTATAGGTGCTTTAACCTGCAGGAGTCTAAATTCGTGCAACGGTTATGGTTTTTGATATAGTTTGTAGTCCAAGATATAGTGTACAATCATACTGGGCTCAGAAGTGTTCGGAAGAATTAGAAGCTAAACTTGAATGTTGAATACTATAGAAAGAAGTAATGATATAGCTGGACCTAAATAATTCTATCCTACACTGTTGTAAAGTTTGTGCTGCAACCCAGCTCTTCGCTTCTCCATAAAGGTGGGTTGAGAACTAGCATGCATGTTAGGATGAACAAGGTCTTTAAGATTTAAATGGCATAGTTCAAGATTCTTCTTTTGACTTTCAGCTACACAAAATGATCATAATGCTGGAAAAGAACATCACTTACCACATTAATTAGTTGCATCAAACAACCTTCCAAGACCAACCTCAGGAAAGCAACATCTACCTCTTAGAGCTGACATCTAATCTTGGCTTTTGTCATACCTTTGTGCAGGATTTTCTACGAGAGATGTCAGACAAGGATGAGAAGATCAACTCATTGCGAGGCATGGGATTTTCTGAAGATGAAACAAACATGGCTATTACGATATGTGGTATGCCGTATGCCTCCGTTTGACCCTCATTCTTTCTTCATGGAAAAGGCACCACCTTATTCTATATACTTTTGTTTAAAATTTTCCCAGGTGTGGATGCTGATCTCTCTATATTGGTTGACTCAATTAGTGCATCACATGTTATAGAAGTTTGTCACTCTAGAAACTTATCTGACCATCAGGTACCTTGTGGTTTGATGCACAATCGAACAGGAAAATGGTTTCGCTCTTTTAATTTGATGAAGGACACTGGAATCTGTGTACATTGGCAGGTTACAGATAGATGCTTCGATTCCTTTGGAGGGAGAAAGAGAGCAAGATTGATTGAAGAGAGCAAGAAAAAGAGGAAGAGATATGGAGGTGGAGCACAAGGCAAACGACCTTCCTCGGATGGCAGCGATGAGGAATCAATGCCTCTCCCAAATCCAATGGTTGGGTTTAACTTTCCTGGTTATAGGGGACCATCAATGACCCAAGTGCTTCTTGAACTAGCTACCGGACCACCTTATTTCTACTATGAAAAATGTGGCCCGAGCTCCAAAAGGTGTATGGGCGAAAATTACAAGGTTTTTGTTTGACATTCAACCAGAGTTTGTGCATTCTCTTCATCTGTGTGAAGCTGCTAGGAAAAGGGGATACATCCAAAATTTGCCAACCGAGAACAGATCACCGCTTCCCCCTCTACCCCCAAAGACCATATTTGAGGCATTCCCTGATTACAAGATGTGGTGGCCATCCTGGGACCAGAGAACACACCTCAGTTGCTTGCAAACATGTATGGCAAGTGCAAAGGTGACAGAACGGATCCAGCGCGCTCTTTCAAGCTCAGGCAATCCACCACCTCAAAGTGTACAGAAATATGTCAGGCATGAATGCTCAAAATGGAACCTTGTCTGGGTTGGCAAAAACAAGGTTGCTCCATTGGAACCTCATGAGATGGAGTATCTTCTTGGTTTCCCAAGGGATCACACAAGAGGAGTCGGCAAGACACAGAGATACAAGTCTCTCGGCAACTCATTCCATGTTGACAAAGTCGCTTACCACTTGTCAGTGTCAAGGGTCATGTTTCCCAATGGTGTTACTGTGTTGTCCTTGTTCACCGGTATCGTAGGAGGAGAGGTTGCTTTGCACAAGCTTGGGATCCACATGAGGGTAGTAGTTTCTGTTGAGATATGCAAAGCTAATAGGGAGATTTTGAGGAGTTGGTGGGATCAAACCCAGACATGCACGTTGATTGAGATTGCTGATGTGAAATTCCTCAAGGATGATGAAATTGCATCATACGTTAGTAGATTTGGTGGCTTTTACTTGGTGATTAGGGGCAGCCCATGTAATAATCTTGCCGGAAGTAACCAACACCATCGTGATGGCTTGGAGGGCAAGCACTCATCTTCGTTCTTTGACTACTTTAGGATCTTGAATTCCGTCAAGTCAGCTATGGCGACAATGCAGCCTAACCGCTGTAGTACCTATGCTATCCATTAATGCTTATATCTAGGAACTGTAACCGATCTGTGTTTAAACATTGAGTTGATGTGGAGGATGTTTATTTGGGAGAAAGATCACATTAACATTTAGCTGGATTATCTATTATTGCTAACTAAGTTATGGCATGTTCATCTTTATTTGGAAAAAGCACTATTGCAGCCCCCTTCAAATCTTCCAGAGCCTATTTTTGTACAGGCAGGGTGTAATTTGTACACCTGATGTGGTGGGGAACATGTTCTTAGAAAGGTATATTTAATCATGTTCTTTGTTGAATGAATGGATATCGCCACAAAATTTCTAATAAGTATCAACTTGCAGGTTTGTCTCGAATTTATGGCAAATGGTGGGTCCTTCTGTTTTACTGTCGCTGTCTAGTTTGTTTTATCACTATTTCTCTTGAACTCTCATCATTATATCTGAATCCAGCATGACAGCCGGCAGTGTTGTTCTTCATTCTAATTTGGCAATAGTCATCTGACCTTGCAAATCTACAACACTTGTGAGTTGTGATTAATGCTACTGTTTTTATTATTATTCCAAGAGTTTAGCAGTGAAATCTGTTGTTTGGTATATAATCTTGTTGTTACCCTATTTGGAAGTTTGATAAAATGCATGGAGCTTGTAGTGTAGTGTTGCTTGGTTATGTTGTCACAACTTGCAGTGAGACACTGTTTTTATCTGTACTATACTACTTTGTTTCAGAATGTACTTGCTTGTTCCATGTGTTCGACTCTGGAGTTTGGTGTAGAAAGCAGTACTTTATTACTACTGGAAACATCTTCCTTTTTGTGCAACTTGTCAGATAAATAAATAAGTTTCCCCAACAGGATTTTAACGAGTCGAGTTTATGTTCTTGATATATTTCTTGTAGACTGCATCCGGAGAGGCAGTGCAGGATGCATTATCTCATCTTCAGAAGCTGACCATCCATTACAGTGCAGGCAACCTTAGGTATGACGAAAACAGATTTCTTTTGCTTTTGTTGTCACATTGCCAATATGACAATGAATTTGCAGTGCACATGACTGCACTTTCTACCTTGATCTGCTTGCCAACTTATAATTTGCATAGTTTGTCCTTGGTCTGAAAATCAAATCGTGATGTTATATTTCGAATCAGGTTGTTGTCTGGATCATATGGACAATATACACAGTCACGATGCTGTTATCCATTTTCCATCAAGTAAGTTTCCACTACATTTATTTCTGTTGCTTTTCAGAATCCCTATACCATCCAGATGTAGAGCAAAGCTAGAAGTACGGAGAAAGGTCTTCAGCAATCACCAAGGCTGATTACTACCTTTTCTTGTTTTCTACAGTTGATGACTTCAAATTATTCAAGGAGTGTGCAGCATACAAGGATGTAAGGTTTCTGCACTTGTATACATAGAAATTTCGGTGTTGTTAAATTCTGTTTTGGATGGATTTTGATGGGGAATTTTTGTTTTTATCAAGGATCAGATAATACTAAGAGACTAACAAGAGTACAGTAAATTACTAGGTTATCCTTAGTTCGATACACTAGAACTTGCCGTCGTTACTTTCTTGGGGCTCTGAAAATAATTCCTCTGAAACTGAATCATTCAGTCATACCGTCAATTTAGTAAATAGTTGCTCTGGAAACTGGGATCTCTCATCTTGGTTACCTTTACCTACTGTGTTAGAATAAATCCGAGGCATACCGTTGATTCGTTGATCACCCGAGGACCAAGCAATCACACGAGCACGACACCGAGATTTGTTAACGAGGTTCACCGATATGGCTACATCCCTGAGGCCTGACTACGGGTGCTCCTCCCCGTGACACCGTCACAATACCGCACCCGGTCGCCCTGGACACCGGCACATGCCGCCGGCTTCCCTTGTGTTCCGGTGCTATTATGTTGGCATAGGTTACATCGTGTGTCTACCCCCTCTATATATGAGAGGCCTAGGATACAAGTGTCCTACTTGGACACGACTCCATATCCTATATAAACACAATACAACTACAAGTCCAACTGTAACCTACCTTGTACACTATATTCGACACAACTCCAACAAACTCCACCTTGGCGAATATTCTCCACCACCTTGAATTCATCAATGCGTCAAACTTCCATGTACATTGGATTTGAGTTTATCCCATCAGCACCATTGCTACTCCAAAGACTCCAAATGACTCCACCTGCAACTTGTAGTCCCTTCTTTTCTTTACCACAGTCAACACTCGAGCAGGCGCCAGCACAAGGGTGGGCGCCGCGAGCATCGCTCCAACGACAGCAACCTGAAGGCCATGCCGCCGCTCCCGCTGCTTACGGGCCTGGGCAGCACTGACACAGGGATCGCCGCTCCTCCGCCACTCGCCGGCCCCGCGTCGCTGGTGTCTGCCTTCTTCGCCGCGGCGGACTCCGTTCCCCCCCTCCGCTGCCGCCGCTCGCCATCGACACCGGCAACAACCAGCAAGAGATTGATCAGGTCATTGCTGACGCACTCGCCGCCCCACTGGAGTTCTCCTCCTAGCCCGTCGCGGCAGCCTGTCGTGCACCTCCCTCGTCCGCCTCCACTGCTGTCCACGTTGGCGCTATGACACAGCAGGTCATGCAGCTCCAGATTGGCTGCGAGGACGGGCACGCGGGGCCAAGCAGCAGCCTGTTCTCCAAGCCTTCAGCGCACCTCATCCCTGCTCCACCGGCCCGCCGCACCCCGGCACCCCCAAGACCCGCACCAGCGCTACACCGACCAGGCAGAGCGCACGGCAGGCGGCTGCGGGCCACAAGGCACCTGTGGCGCAGTGCGCCTCTCTGCTTCTGGTCAAGCAGTTCGGCCTGCTTGGCCCCAAGGAAGCCATGACCGCAAAAGCTGCCGAGGCCCTTGAGGGAGTCCTGGATTAGGGGGTATCCGGACAGCCGGACTATATACTTTGGCCGGACTGATGGGCCGGGAAGATACAAGACTCAAGACTTCGTCCCGTGTCCGGATGGGAATCTTCTTTGTGTGGAAGACAAGCTTGGCGATCCGGATATTAGATCTCCTTCTTTGTAACCGACTTTGTGTAAACCCTAGCCCCCTCCGGTGTCTATATAAACCGGAGGATTTGGTCCGTATAGGGACAATCATAATCAGCATAGGCTAGCTTCTAGGGTTTAGCCTCTACGATCTTGTGGTAGATCAACTCTTGTAATACTCATATCATCAAGATCAATCAAGCAGGAAGTAGGGTTTTACCTCCATCGAGAGGGCCCGAACCTGGGTAAAACATCGTGTCCCTTGCCTCCTGTTACCATTAGCCTTAGATGCACGGATCGGGACCCCCTACACGAGATCTGCCAGTTTTGACACCGACATTGGTGCTTTCATTGAGAGTTCCTCTGTGTCGTTGCTGCAAGGCTCGATGGCTCCTTCAATCATCAACAACAATGTGGTCCAGGGTGAGACTTTTCTCCCCGGACAAATCTTCGTGTTCGGCGGCTTCTCACTGCGGGCCAATTCGCTTGGCCATCTGGAGCAGATCGACAGCTACGCCCCTGGCCCTCAGGTGAGGTTCGGAAACTTGAACTACATGACCGATATCCATGGAGACTTGGTCTTCGACGGATTCGGGCCTACGCCAGGAGCGCCGAACAGTCTCGATGAGCACAGTTCAGACCTGTTGTCAGACAATACTCGGGATATCGCACCTGCAGGAGCCCCAAACCTAAATCTGGGGCAGATGGCATCGTCCGAGGATGGGTGGATGGACCCCGCCCCGGAGGCCGCACACTCATCGGTGGTAGAGCCGATCACAGACTTCACCCCCAAGGAAGCCTGTGTCTCCGGACCTCTGGACTCGTGTCTGGTTGTAGGGCCCAGACCGCGCGCCCCTGAGCCCGCCGATTCTAGCTGGTCTCCGGTAATGGAGTTCACCGCGGCGGATATCTTCCAGCACTCGCCCTTTGGCGACATGCTGAACTCATTAAAGTCTCTCTCTTTGTCAGGAGACTCTTGGCAGAACTATGTCCGGCTCGAGTGGGAAGCAGGCGACGAGGGAATTCGTTGCCCACCCATCACCGACTTCATTGCCACGGTCGACGATTTGACCGACGTGCTTGACTTTGACTCTGAAGACATCGACGGTGTGGACGATGATGCAGGAGATGAACAGGAACCACCGCCCATGGGGAGCTGGACAGCCACCTCCTCATATGATATATATATGGTGGACACTCCGAAAGAAACCAATGGTGATGAGGCAATGGAGGATAACCCCTCATGGAAGAAAGCAAAGCATGGGCGTCATCGGCGCCGCTCCAAGCCCCGCCACAACAATACCAGCACAGGAGACGAAAACAATCCGGATGGTGCCGAAGATGAATACAACCCCGATCAGCCTGCCTTCGAGCAGGCTGAACAGGAAGACCGGCAGGTCAGCCCAGACGAACAGGAGAGGGACGGGTACCCGGAGGAGGACAACTACATGCCCCCCTCTGAAGACGAGATTAGCCTCGGTGACGACGAATTCGGCGTGCCTGAGGACCCCATAGAGCAGGAGAGCTTCAAGCGCCGGCTTATGGCCACTACGAGGAGCCTGAAAAAGAAGCATCAGTAGCTCCAAGCTGATCAAGATCTGCTCACAGACAGATGGACTGAAGTCTTGGCGGCCGAGGAATATGGACTCGAGCGCCAGACCAAAGGTTATCCAAAGCACAAGTGGATACCTCAACTCGAGGAGGAGCCTATCCTGCCAGCACAGGACGAGGCTGACCGGCCACCTCGTGGCCGGGATAAAACGGCATATCAGCCCGAATACCAGCCCGCACCCCCACACCAATACACTACGGCCCAGGGCAATAGGCAAGACCTGCGAGACATATTGGAAAACAAGGCAGGACAGCCAAGATCAATCTACGGATCGCGTGGGCGCGCCCCAACACGTGACAATGATCTTCATGCCGGATACACTATCAACAAGTCCGGCCGGGCCGAACACATCCAACCAGACTCATTCGAACTGCGTAGCCACATAGCCCGGCATAGAGG